AATGTTTTTTTATCTCTGTGCTCCTTTAATAGGTTTGGTGTACACACCCCAAAAAACCCCCACACCCACCTGGGGGGGGGGGGGAATCCTGGGAGTTGAAGTCCACACATCTTAAAGTGGCCAAGGTTGAGAAACACTGGTCTAGATTATGCCAAACTAGTTTAACTCTTATTCTCCCATTTGGACTCTGAAACTAGGAAACAGCCTGTTGGGCAGGAATGTTTATGGATAACTGAAGCTGCCGTCTTCTTTGCTAACTCCTAACAAGCCCCGTTGCGCCCAGCTGAACTTCGTTCAGAAGAGAGACGCATAGGATTGTGCAAATCTTCAAACTGCAAATTGGCAACTCAACAAAAGGAAGCAGAGGAGATAGATTTTAATTTTCAGGAGCGAGGATTTGGAAGAACAATTTCAGAGCATCATCTCCTCTTCATAACAACGACAGCAATACCTGCATACCTATCTCCATTTCCTTGAAAGAAAATCTCTCTGAAATCCTTAGCAAGCTCTTTCTTGTGTGCTATCTCTTCCATAATTCTCTGTATTTTACTGCAAGGAGAGACCCAAAACGTAGTTTTCCTGGCACCAGCCTTGAAAGTTTGGGACTATAGTACATGTTTTGTTTTTTTAATTCATTTTTTTTTAAACTTTTAACGTTTTAAGTACGCCAACCAATTGTGAAACGTTTCAGTTATTTATTATTGCTACTGGCAGGATTTAAAGCAATTTGAAATGGAGCCACATCTGGCCTATTTTTTTTTTTTTCCTTCAAGAGGAATGGACAGGAAACAGAGTTAAGCTTTGCCAAATGGAAAACGATAAAAACAGAGTAATGTTGCAATATAATGCAAAAGAATTCCTTCCCCTCAAAGTATCGTTCCCACTGAATGCTTTCCAATGTAGATTTATATTTTGCTCTGCTTTTTGCCTTTTCTGGGGAGAGCAATTCTTAATTTTCATGTTTAAACATCTTGGAGGACCCGCAAAGAAGGTAAGCGCTTAACCTACAAAGAATAAAGTTACTCCTTGAGATTTGACCCAGGACAACGTGGCACTCCCGAGGCTGAAAATGGGATCCTTCCGGCTTACATTTCCATAAGAAAATGGTTTTGTACCCAGAGGTTGGTTTCCCATGAATCTCATTTCCCTTGATTTGCATGAAGGTCAGGTTTCACTGCAGGACTGGTGCTTCAAAACAGTCCTGAGCATCTGCAGAAAGGCTGACCAGAAAACACTGCCGATTCTGGGATAACAGAATTCACGTCTTCTGTGGAGCCCTTTCTGAATGCTTGGCCACCAGTTCATACAAGGACTGAAATGAGCTTGGTTGTTTTCTTGCAAACGTTTCGTTACCTGGCTAGGTAATGAAACGTTTGCAAGAAA